TTTTTTTTTTTTTTTTTGACTACCTGTTATTTTAGTAAAACTGATGATGGTGGAAAACACCGAAACGTTTTTTTTTAAATTGATAAATGAACAATAAATAAATGACTGAAGAACCCAGGACTTGATTTTAATTTTGGAATTATTTATTGTAAAACATTTTCATGAAATGTATCTTGTAATTATTGTTTCTCTCTCTGTAGACCAAGTAGTTTGTTATCAGTTATATTTTACGCTTCATTTCCATTTCAGTATCGTCGTCTGCTCGATAACTTCTAATTTGCAGTTTGCACTGTTATTTTGTTCGGATTTGAGAACTACTTCCCTGTACCACGTGTCGTGTATTTCTTACGCTATTGAATTACACAACAGGACCACAAAGAAAAAGAAACCAAGTACGGTTTCAAAATTATTTATTTCAAAACCTATCCGTGTCTTTACAATCTTGAGAAAAATTACAAAAATGGACGAGCGGAATATAAAGTTAAATATTTCCCTGAGCTACGTCCAGAATATCACAATTCTTACCTTTTTGTAAATATGGGTAAAACTGATATACAACCACTTTATAGCTAAAACTAGCAGAAAATCATGTTTGCTTTATCAATTTCAAAACAATTACCCATTCAAGTACCGGATTGATCTAAATTCGTTTAAAAGTGCTAGTGGGAATTTTATTCTACATATTTTAGCTATCGGATTGAATCACCATACCAAAAAGGTACTTAAAATAACTTAAGTCTCAAATAAAGAGTGCCATTCAAACAAATTCATACAAATGCAACTCTGTTTTTGTAAGTCAATAGGTAAAGACCCGTTGAATCATATATTCTCGATTTAAATATGTATACATTCGAAACATTTTCAACACATGAGAACCGGCACAGTGGTTTGAACCAACTAAATGGAAAGAAATAGTCAAAAAAGTAGCACATCCGAATCACCATAAATTCCAAATAATTTCCTTTTTTGTTATTCTTGATTTAAGTTCAGTTGGAATCACTTACCTCTTTCCATTGTCGTTCTATGCTTAAATGTACTTACAAGAAGAGCTAATAAAGTTCAACTACCCTTCCTTAAAAACATTTTGACAATTCTAAATGAATTCAATAAATGCTAATCTAAATTCTACATTCAGTCTATTTCTTATTTTTCAACTGGCTTTTACCTTAGGTCGATTGAGATTTGGCGAAGTTATTTCGAGGATATTCATTAGCCAAAGCAGCTTTATCTATTTTTTACATATGAATTTGGCCTTCGGCTATTGCATATCCCACTTTAGCTTTAGCCTATCGGGTTAAGAGCCCCGGTTATTCGTATGAACCCTGTGATGATTCACGTTTTTCCTGCTCCGATTGCCACTGAACCTATAAATTAAAATCCATAAAAATATGCACGAAAAAAAAGCTAGATATTAACCTTTTGTCGATGTTGTTTAACATGATCTTTAACTATATCCAGTGCCATTTTTTCTGTAAGTAATCCATCTTCAGAAGCGTACGCTGCAGATTGCCAAGCAATACCTAATTTAGCAATTTCTCTTCCCGACATGCCGTCGGTTATTTCAGCCATTTTTGTACACAGGGCGCTGTAGTCGAATTTGTCTACTTTCAATCTGCTAAAAAGTCAACCGAAAAACGAAAGTTAGTTTTAAATTACAACAGTTTTAAGAACTAATATCTCCTTAGCAACAGTAGCATCTGCTTTTTTAAATCAAATATTTACCTTTTTCCTTCGGTGGCAGGCTGCAAAACAAATTTTTGGAAGTATAATCGTATTAGTCTTTCGCGTTCTACCATTCCCGGCAACGAGAATTCAACCATTTCGTCGAGGCGATCATTTACAGCCCAATCAAATTGTTCCGGTGTGTTGGAAGCTAATATTAGCATAAATTTGTTGCTTTGTTCACCTAAAGGAATACAAAGTTATAGTTTGCTAATTAAATGGCACATAATATTTTATGCCTCCTGAGTGATTTTATCTATGTATAAAATATATTCAATACGACGTTTATTAGCAACTCACCGGTTCGATACAGGAAAGCGTTCAAAGTAGCTCGTAAATCTTCAGATAACTTTTCTGATGATCTTTTACGCAAAAAAGCATCAGATTCGTCTATGAACAGTAACAGTCCCTTTCTGGAGGTGTTTGCCCAATCAAACACTTTATGGATTGCAGTTACTCCGTCTTTACGCATAGGCGCGATGTCACCTCCTGTTAAAATAGCGTAGTCCATACCCGAATGCTTTGCCAGTTTCTGTGTACAAAATGATGAAGAGTTAACAATCGTACGTGAACGCAATGTGTATCTTGTTTACTTTGGTGAACATAGTTTTTCCAGTTCCAGGTGGTCCGTGCATAAGAATATTCCTATACATTCCTCTGTTGCGTTTGGTATTTTTGGTCGCTATCGCAATGTCCCTCAATCTTTCTTCCATTTTGGGTGCTAACACAATACCTTGAAGTACATCATCCTCTTTTTCTCTTAGCCTTTTTAGGGTTTCAATGGGGTGTTTAGCAGCTTCAAGAAGAGAAAATCTTGATGTTTCCTTTACTAATGTCGGCTTTCCTAAATAGAACAGAATCAAATTTAACGAGTTGGTTGTCTTTGTTTTGATTCACAATGAACTAATAACAAAAATAAGGTCTTGCTGTTCTATAAATGGGATAACAATGTCCTATGAAATTTCGTTTGCAATAAATTAAAAAATAATTAATAAAATATACGTTTTTACCGCGCGAACTTTCGCTATCGTGCACATCCGTAAAAAACAAGGCATTTTCATGGAATTATATCAGTTCGTTCTCAACATGGAGTCGGAACTTTTATACACTATCAAATAACTAAAGGAAATAATTACCACAACGGCGTTGTCGAGTTAAAACGAAATAAATAGATAGTGATGTATGCCAAAATACGCGAATTAGAAAGAGATAAAATTGGCTACTTTACCATTAAACTGTTAATATATCTACATTACTCGAATTGTGAGCGGAGGGTAATTTTGGAAATTCCTGCTCTAATTGAAAATTGCCATGTCCCTGCATATTGGACCTGTTGGTGGATGCACACAAAATGTTTATCGCGGAAGAGCCTGCCAGGCACTATTTATTTTAACATCCTGAACACGTACACTAGTTCTAGCTAGATTTCTCACTTGATTTATTGCCTCTTTCTTCTCGAATAAAAAAACTCAGACAAGCAAAACCATAATAACTATAATAAAAATCTACATTATCTATGGATCGCACGCCCTAGTCCCGCTCAACTACTATGATCCTGGCTTAATTCCGAAGGTATTAGAGGTTGAAATGCCCCGGAAAAATGCAATAAAAACCAGCGCGTTATCAAATGACTCCTTGGCGTGAAGTAGCTTTTGAATGCAGATATTCAATCTTATTCCGCTTCTTCTTCTCGTAGTGCTTATCCGGTTCGGATGCTGGCGACTAGCACGGGTATTCTAACTTTATTGGCTGCTGCACGGAACAGTTCAGTTGTGGTTAAGGCAAACCATTGCATGAGGTGTTGAAGCCAAGAGTTTCTTCTCCGTCCGGATTCTCTATGGTCATATATTTTGTCCTAAAGAATGAGCTGCAGCAGACCATACCGATCTTTGCTTCGTGTTATAAGACCCAAGGATTCACACTTTCCATAGTTGAGCCTTTGTAATACTTCGACGTTGGTAATCCGGTCTGTCCATGCCTTACACAACATTCTACTGTAGCACCACATTGCTCTTTCGAGTCAACGTCCATAATTCGACTCCATATAACAAGATTAAAAACAGCAGCGTAGTAGATTTATTTTCGTTGTTGTTGGTAGACCCGATTTTTAAAACTCTTAATTTTGATGAAGGATGCTCTGGCCTTTGACCATTTATATTTGTCCCCCATTGACCATTTATATTTGTGCCCAGTTATTTATAGCTGCTTATCCTTTCTATTTGTTGTTGATTTACTATGAGTTGGTTAAAGGAGATGTGGGTTTTACTAATTATCGTGTTTTTTTCTTGTTTATGTTAAAGTCTGCTGTGCGCGCAATCTGTAAGCTTTCCAAGCTGTCTGCGAATATGATTGTGTCATCCCCATACCTAATGTTGTTCAGTCGTTGACCATTTACAAGAATGCCAATCTCACTGTCCTCTAGAGCCTTCTTCATTATTTCCTCGTAGTAGAGATTAAAAAGTAGGGGGACATTATGCAGCCTTGTGATACTCCCCGTTGTATGGTCACTTCTTCCGTCAGCTCTTTTCCTACTCTTATGCCGCGTTCAGATCAAATGCGAGGCAAACGTTGCCCGCTCGTTATGTACAACAACATGGTCGTGGTACACGGTAGGTGTTTTGGAAATTAGTCGCGATTTATCTATCCATGATCGTTTCTTCAACCGCAGATCAAATGGGATTATGGCGCAGTGTGGACGGTTTATTTTTCGGTACACATAAAACATGCAAATTAGGGATTCCTGGGTGGAAACTGAAAACAAAATTCGCAGCAATACCCCAAGAGGCGCATTGTTGTCTCGTTCACGTTCCGTAAGGTCTAAAATTCCGGAGAGTCGCGTCACACTGCGTTCCGGACAGTTTTTCGTGCACGTATTGGCACTTTTTGACACGTTTCGTGCACGTATTGACATGTTCAATAGGAGCGAATATTAACAACATTACGACTGATTTTGTAATTTATTTCAAATGTCGGAAGAGATGTTAATTGGAACAGTCAGAGGACATCAGAAGTTGTATGATACGACTATAACATGTTAACTGTATGAAATCCAAATTAATAAAAATAAAATAAAATACATATAAAATAACGTGTTAATTCATAAATGCGTTAAGAAAACGAATACCTTAAGAAAACGGATAATTTTTGTTCAGTGCCGATCGGCTTCTGGGCATTACACCCATCGGATTCAATAGATAGTTTGATCGTTTCACGTAATTCGTTAGACTGTACTCTGTCGAAAGTAATTGTTAAAAACACTATCCCGAAATTCGGCTATTATCCTGGATGGTTCATGGGTCGATTTCTCTTTGATAAATTAAAATTATTTGGTGATTTATATCTTTTCGCCCCTGACGAATAAAGCAACATTTTATCTTCAGCATGACTATGTGACTCTGAACTAAAGAAACGTAAATAAATATGTTTACATTTCTCATTCATATGGAGTGAAAAGTGATTTAACTGAAACTGGCACGCACTGTGTCGCAATATGCGGATTCCGGCGCTAGACGTGAGACAAGTTGGCATCAAAAACTTAATTTGCACCTAGCCTTAAGGGTATGCGCGATATCCCGGTAAAAAGTTGTTAATACACCGAGTGACACGACACACTTTTCAATACTTTTCAGCATTTTGGGTAAGACTACCATCCATTTTTTTTAGATACATACCAATTCTAGATTCAATGAATCTTGCTGTAACCGACGTGGCCCCTTTAGCTGAATAGACACCTAACGCAAGCAAAGAAAGACCGCCTGCAGCGGTAAGTACTTTGTCCCAATCTGTTAACATTGCTTGGGCACCAGTACCAATGACACCACCTGCCGTTCTGCAAAAAATAATTTATATGAAAGTACAGTTTTCAATTGTTGCTCAAACTCGAAGTGCAGTTACTTACTTAATGCTTTCCAAAACAGTAGCTCGATGTTCTTGGGCCCTTAATCTGATCTGCTCGAGATTTAAGTCGCGATTCTCTCTATCAACTTTGGCTTTAGCCTTCAACTCAGCTTCAATTCTTTTCATATCACTTTTATGTCTCACCTCAATCTCATGTTCGAGTGTTGCCCTGCGCAATGCCTCTTGTTTAGCAACAGATTCTTCTTGCCTGATATAAATAAACAGATATAGAATTATAGCAAAACGCACATATTTCCGGATTATTACTTTCTCAAACTTTCATCGTTCATACGTTGTTGTTGTGCAAGTTGCTCATCATATCGCTTCCTGGCTAATTGATCTTGATATTGAGCTCTAGCTTGGTGCTGCCTAGTCTCCTCCTGAAGCAATTTTCGTTTCTCTTCTGCTTCGGCTCTCTTGGCCTCAATTTGCATCTGCGAAATATGAGCCTCATATTCCTTCATTTTTGCCTGTTGCTCAAGTTGCCTTGTCGTTTCTTGAAGTTTGGATAGCTCAAGAGCTTCCTTCGGAAATTCTGAAATATTTAAACTATCGTGAGATACAATTCAGTTAAATTTAGAAATAAGACAAAAACACATAGAATAATAGATATGTTTGCAGTGTGGCCTGATTAAAATCGTATTTTTAAATATTAATACATTTTTTATTTTACACCACGTCTTCACATTTATGAGGATTATAAAGCTGATAGATTTCGAATCAATTTAGTATCTATGTCTTTTGCTGTGTATAAATGGTCACAAATTATAGGATAACAGTAGTTCACCCGTACTTCTATACTAATTAACTAACCCATGTTTTTAGTAAATTATAATTTTTAAGTGCTACGTGTGTATATGGATTAGAAATCACGCTTGATCTAAAAAAACCAATATTTTTAATTGCATCGTTTCTCATAAATCATTAATCTAAATTTATTAAATTCAATTTCGTTTCAAAAAAAATGACCGCTTATCAAATCTTGTTTAAAAAATTAAGTAAGTGGTATCACATTAGGTGGTTTTACGTATTAGAGTTGAAGAGTATACACATAACTTTATGGCAAACTACGATATTTTTGGTGGTTTTTGAGTCATTTGCAATTTCACGTTTTTCATTTAACAAAACAATGTGTTTTTGCTAAGTTTATGGGAATTACTTTTAGTAAACAATCCCACGAAACGAATTTTTTACTTATTTAATTAAACCTTTGTATTAGAATTAAAAATATTCTGATATAGAAACAGTAAAAATAATAACCTTTAGAATGTTAATTTAGTCGTCATCGAGGTTGTAATAATAACATTAACAAAAATACACACACAAGTAATGTTTTTTTGGCCTCTGTCGAAACGTTATAACTTTCTTAATGTGGTATCTTGCTGACATTAGTAGAGCACCCTGTCTATTGACCTTGGTGTTTGAGTTGTTTTATGAAAAATTAAATTTCTTCTGAATTTCAAAATATTCTTCATTTCACCAAGGCAAACTCCATGTAGGCGCCCCACTAGTAGAACTATTGTCATACTTCGTCTAAATTTGAAAAACTCGCCTTCTAAGCAAATCTAAATTGAATTTTTATCAGTAAAAAAATATGGTCAGCTAACCCATTTACCACAAGATCAAAGTTCACCATAAAGTAGTATTTGATATTGGTTTTATTCATGAAATATTAACTATTATATAACCACAACAGAGTTATTCTTACTCGACTTCTCCAGATCTCTTGCCGCCTGTGCTGCCCGCTCCAAAGCGCTGGAGTCAAATCGATAGGCCTCCATTTGCCTGCGCTCCGACTTCGTTAATGAGGGCTCTTTGGGAGAGCCCTCATCTGAACCACCACCGGCACCCGCCGGAACACCAAGCCCCATTTGAGAAAGATCGGGTCCTTGGTCTTTATTTCGTCCATAGCCGAATAACCACGACATATTTATTCAAATTAATTAGTTTAAAGCGAAAGAACTATTACAAATTCAACAAATTTATGAAACATTCACAACGTGCCTACTAAATACGATTAGGACACAAATGAAGCATGAGAAAGAAGAAAATCTAAGGTTAAGAGTTTCGTTGCCAACAGGATTTAATGAAATTTCCCTAGTCACTTTTTTTTGTCTACATCTTATCTTTTTCTATCTTGTGGATATATAAGCATGTACTTTCACGTAATAAACTAGTTCTTGACGTAATAAGAAAGTTCAATTTCACCTCAAAAACTTTCAAATTTAATATTTAGGTTTAGACGACAAAATTCACATTTAGGAATTTTTTTATTTACTATTAACGATTATGTTTAGATGCCGAAACATCGTTATAATCTAAAATGTGCTCTAGTGAGACAGAGATTTAAGAGGGTAACTAAATATTCTTAAATGTATGCCATTGATCTGTATACTATGTGAAAAGCTACTCATGCTAAGTACAAGAATTTAAAATTTGGTTATTCTCTAAGAATGTTAGTTTCTTTTATTTATTGGACAGTGTGAGGGATGTATGAGCTGAGTAGGAAGAATGGTAGAATGTATATGAGCAGGTAATAGGAAATAAACGACTCAGGGAACTCTTTTACCCCAAAAAGTATATTAACTATTAAAGTAATTGTGGTCAGCTATTACTTTTTTAGCCACATTCTTAACTTGTTTCAAGGCATGTTTCAATTTCGAGAATAGAATAAAGTAAAGCTTAATATTAGATACAAATAAAGTAGAACATTAATCGATATATTTTATCTGAGAAAGCTTGGCACTTCAGAGCCAATTTTTTGTTGAATTAATTTTCCATATCCGCCTCTACCTGCATCGTAATCAGTTCTGTATTCATCTCGCACCTGAAAAATAATAAAAAATGATGGATTCGCTATTCTAAATTTAATTTAGTATATTTATGGATATATGGCATATACCATGAGACAAGGCAAATGCATTTTGTTCCTTGTAAGTGAGAGACACTAAGTTTTTTGTGAGAATTATTTTTATCCTCCAATTCCCCTAGAGGAATTACGCAAATTGTGTATTGCCTCTATACAGGAGTTCATGTGAATAAAGAATATAACATCTGGATTTTAAACGGTTTTCGACAATTAACAATACATTATTAATTATTAACAGTTTATGATTTAACAAGGGTTTGTGGATCAGTGGATATTAAAAGTTAACGTTACGTCGATTTTTAAATTTAATAATAGTGTAGACGTAATTTTACCACAAATATCTTATATTTAACGCGGATAAATAGACTTATGGAACACCCTAACACATGTTTGTTTAATGTCATATGATTATAGCCACCGTACCGTTTTTAATTGACCAAACAAGTCAATGTAAACTTTGTAACGAATTTAAATATTGTGCTTATAACAAGTTGTCAATGAAAATAAGGAATTATTCGTTTGGCTAACGTACCTGCCCTCCAGTTTTTCCTCGCCCATATTGACGACCTTCAATAAACCCGGCATCCCAGTCAGTTCTTACTATTCTATCATCTAGTCTTGTACCATTAATATATCTAAAAAGAATGAAAACACAGTATATTCATCGAGACTTGAGCAGGTAAGCTCGTCACAAACCAGCTGCAATTATTTATCTTAGCTTTGTTATATTAAATGGGAACATCAAGAGTTAATTACGATTTGTTTTACTCGATGCAATGGGCAACATTTTCAACTGAAGTACCCATGTGCTTATAAGTACGTTTGGTAAATTAGAAACGAATGGAACTTCGTTCAGATACAGACATTTAATCAAGATCTCTATACATTATTCCTGATGTTCTCAAAAAAATTCCGTTTACGGAGTTAGCAGCAACAGCAACACAGATGTGTACTACCTGCAAATTACCTTAAACAGTTTTCAGCGTCAGCCCTTGTGTAATATTCGATAAAGCAAAATCCACATGGTGTCTTTTTATATTTGTCTAACCCCATGATAATTCGCTTAACGTCACCACACTTTGAAAACAGCTCGTAGATCTGTTCTTCTGTAGTATAAAACGATAAATTCCCCACATAAAAAGTGGATGAAACTCGTAGGAGTTTGTCTTGTTCAGCTCGAGTGCCCTACAAAATAAAACTTTGCACATAGTAATATCAAACTTTCTGACAATTATTACATACCTTGAAATGTTGATCGCGGTAAGAACTAAGATCTAACGAAGTCGAGAATTTCCCCATTTTTAATGAAACTGGTTAATCCGAAACTCTGTTTATCTTAATGTGCTTTCCAACATAAATATTAAACAAATAATATTTTTCGTTTACACATAACCGCTAGTGACGTTTCTGACATACATCAAAACGCTCATTGACTTCGTCTTTCGAAAGGACTGAAAAGTTATTCAGTACTTAAGAGAAGACGAAATAAACTATTAACCTTACAAAATTGGATGCGTAAACAAGTCGTTTAGTTTTAAACGCCAAATAATTTTATTCATTTTTGAAATAATTGAAATTCTGTAATAATGGTGAGCATAGGGTTTTCTTCTATCGAGTTAAGTTCTTACCGAGACCAACATTTTAAGGTGAGTATAATTTTAGATGAGGTAATGGAGCACCTTATTCAAATATAACCATATAATTAAATTATTTAGTTAATTCGTATATATTTTCTTACTATGTACTAGTCAATTAGCATTATTTAACTCTCTGTATTTCGAACTATTCGAATTTATATGTTATCACTATTTATACGGGAGTTACGAAAAAACCGAGGAAAAATCCCCTAACTTAACCTATTGGTATAATATATTCCATATAAATGAGTGGATTTTTGTAGAAATAGGGTTCTAAAATATTCGATTATAATC